CACTTAAGAGTTTGAGAAACCATAACTCACATCTCACATAAGTAGGTTTTATACACTTTTGATCTCTTGAGCATAGCATATATAAGGATTCACAGTAAATTCAAGTTTTGAAGAACAATTTCACAGTTTCAAATAATTTATTATAATAAGGAATGACAACACGATGCATGCGAGGCAATGATCCAATTCCCGTTTCTAGTCCTGCCATGGATTTTCTGATCCAGAAAAAACCTTCGATAGTTTCCCTTTCTTCTTAAAAAAGGTAGTTCCTAAGATGAGGTAGACTAGTCCGTGAAGATCACACCGAAGTACATTCTACTTTTAATAGATCATGAACAATATCAGAATCGTTATAAACGAGTCTCCCCAATCCTTTCTTAAATTTTACAAATTAATTTTTGTAATTAAATTAAATTTAACTAAATTAAATTTTATAAGTTATTGAATAGAACTTTGAAAGATTGATACAAAACTACATTATTTATAGACCTACATTCGCTAATAAGTGTGATATATTTTTTAATGTGGGACAAATGAATCCCTTAGTAAAGTCCCAGCATTTCAACATTAAAGGCATGGAAAGAATTCCAAATCAGAATTTTTAAGTAAACTCGTCGAAGAAAAGCATATAAAAGGGGGTGGCAAACCAACTATTATTAAATAGATATTGGACTTTCCATCTTTTATGGGTCATAAGTAAATTTGTTAATATAAATTACATTTTTTTATATTATAATATTTCTAAATAAAAAATAATTACCAAAATAATGTTATTAAGTGAGGGACGAGACATGAGTCGAGGATTTATCCCCGTCATTGCTAATTATTAAAATCGAGTTGGACCGACTGATTGATCTACTTCGGGAATTGACGAACTAGATAGTGACCTAGTCCGAGTGCATTAGTTGTTTCATTCAACAAAAAAACCAGTTAAGCACCGGTTAAACCATTTAATAACTGCCTGAAATGAGCAGTTTAAGAGGAAACTGGAATCGATTTAATGTGAACTAACCGATTGGTTACTAAATTTGTCTTGAGCAAAATTTTATATCCACTTTTGCATTTGTAGAGATTCGAGCCCTAGATTCCTCTATGAAACATCACCACATTGACCATTACACACACACACACACATGAAATATTTTTTAATTAAAATTATAGTCTAGCAACGATATATTGATCGAACCATTAACCTAACCACCCGATGATTTGTCCAAGTCGAGACTAGGTCGGGTCTGATAATTATGCTGTCACCATCGTGCTTCCCAACTAATCAGGTAATCTATGGCTTGTTCAGGACAGTTTTACCGAAGGAAAGCATTTGGTTATGACATGTTTTAATTCCTAATAGGACTCTCCAATTTTCAAACTATGATCAACACAAGAGAAAAGATACAAAAAACTCTCTAGAGCAAATAATCTTGATTTTCATCATCGAAATTTGACTAATTGAAAATCGGAATTTCTGCTCATCGAAGGTAATGGTGACAAGATGAGGTAATAATAGAAGTAGAAAATTGAGCTTGATGATCATCCCGAAAGGCTTGAACTGTTTCGAAATTACAATTGATGGTGGATAACATTGTGTTGTTTTTGGATCTTCCTATTTTTTAATTGATGAAACAGTATTGAGCTCCAATCGTAAGTTAATGTGACGAAAATTGAAAGATTCATTGGCCTCTAAACTGGGAGTTACTGTGACAAAAATTTAAAAGATTCATTGTTACCTATGATATTGATCTAATGGCAAGTGATCAATTCACTATATGTGACATATTGATATGAATCTGTAACTTATATACTATGACACGTGACCTATAAACTGTTACCTCTAATATTTATCCAATAGCCTATGATTAGTTCTCTTGAATTTGTGACTTGTGACCTATGAAATTATGACATGTGACTTGTGAACTCTAACACATGACATGTGACATGTAAACTATTACTTACGATATTAATTCAATGACTTGTAATCAGTTCTCTTGAATTTATGACATGTGGACATTGATATGTCATCTATGTAATATGACGTGATCTATGAAAAAGTTAACCTATGATTTGTAACACTTGAACTGTGACCTGTTATCAGTGTAAAAAGATGCGTGAAATTTGACCAGTGACAAATTAATTTGATTTGTGATTTGTTGACATTGATTTGTGACATATACAATATAACATGTGACCTATGAAGTGTGACCTGTGACCTATAAATACAAATTAATGATCTATGACTTGTGGACACTGATCAGTGACCAATCGATTGTCGAACCATTGCCAACACCACTGCTAGCACACCACCACCTACACGACACAACCATCACAAGCACCAGCACCAACACCACCATTTGCAAACTACCAACACCCACAACCACCCAAAACTTCGTCTACAATCTGATCATATCGGAGAAGGAAAGAACCACCACCACCACCAACAAAATCACCTAAAAACTCCAAACCAGATCAAATTGGAGGAGAAAGAAACCACCCAAAAAATCATCCCCAAATTGAATTAGAACGGTGGTCTTGCGAGCGGGCGGCATAGTGTGCGGTGGCCAAGAGCTCTGCATGCTGTGGTCTTGCAATTGTAGTTGTCAGTTTTCGACATGAATGGAACGAGAGAGAGAGAGAGAGAGAGAGAGAGAGAGAGAGAGTGTGGTGAGAAGAAGAGAAAGAGAGAGAGAGAGAGAGAGAGAGAGAGAGAGAGAGAGAGAGAGAGAGAGAGAGAGAGGGAGTTATAGTTTAATGAGGGGTAGATGTAGGACGAGATAGGTAAGATGAGTTATTATTAATATTTTTATTTAGTATATATTAAATAACTAATTACAACCTAAATTTGGTAATATGAAAATTAAAAATATGATTTATGAAATGTATACTTTAAAAGCAGCGTAGGTGTAATTTCCACATATAATTTTCTAATATTGATAAAGAAAAAAAAAAATACATTGCACGTTTATTTTATTTTTATGGCTTTGCAATGGATCCACTAAAATTTAGGACCACCAGACTTGAATTATTAACTTTAATTTTATATTCGACGCGTCCGAGGCAAGGATGCAAGGGACCCACTAAAATTTAGTAGCAGGGACCACAAACATCAATTATTTTTTATTTTATTTTCATCATTTTTATGTTCAAGATATCAATATATACTATTGGTCATAGCTCTTTAAACAAGTTCTCATTTGAGTCATTGAACTTCGACTTGTGATTACGATTTCATGATGATTATACCTTTTTGCACAATTGAACCTTGTGAAATAATGTCACATGAAATACACCTTAAATAGAATGATACTATTTAGCTTCAATGATGTTATGTACCAGATCATGTGGTCAATAAAGTCACTTTCACATCGCCCATGAATGAAAATACATCTTAACTTTATTGGACAATGTTATCGTAAATATATTGCCACATGAGTTGGTGTTTAAGGACACTAAGACTAATTGACCTAGTTGAAATTTGATGTCCAATATTTATTTCAATTTAATGAGGAAAAAAATTAGTAAGTAAATTCCATTGAGATAATTATGCTTTTACTCTAGTGTCAATCAATTAATTGTACTTCAATTATGTTCAATTGATATTTTGCTTTGATTTCAATAGGGCAACTTCATCTAATTTCGTCATTAGGAATGACAAAATCAATGAAGTCGTAGTCAAAATGATGTTTGTCTCTTATTTCATTGAAGTTGTACTTATTTCACGTGAGCAACTTACAATAACGTGCCATGATAGTCATTTATTGACTTTTATATCATTGATTTTCATTAGTGAAAATGGAATAAGTTACATTAACTAAAATCAAATTAAAATGTAATTACCCAATTGGAATCCGAATAAAATATAGTTATTCTATTGAAATTATATGAAATGTAGTTGCTTATTTGAATAAAATTAAAGTACAATTATTTAAGTGATACCAAAATAGAAGTACAGTTCATGCAAGTAGACTTTACCCCCAAAAATTACTTCAAATAACAGTTGCATTTTACCTTGCTCATGAAGTCAATCGAAATAATTGGAAGTTGCGTTTATAAATTTTTATAATTTATACCAGTGTTCTAAAAAATGTAAAGTGTGGCTACGTGTGGGGGTGAAACTTCAAGCTTTACAAGCCTAGGCGAGGCTTAGGTGTTAAAAAAAAAAAAAAAGTTTTCTTATTTTCAATATTATTTTAAATTTTTAAACATTTTAAAAATTATTTAATAATGAAAATAATACATATTAAACATCTAGAATAATAAAATACTATATTTACTTAATAATTCCTACTATCAGTCAATTATACAAATTTCAAGTTTTTGAAATGCAAAAATTAGAATATTTTTTATAGTTTTAATTTTCAACTAGACAAGTCGTATTTAATAGATTTACAAGAACTTCATATATATTTTTGAGTTTGCAACCATATAATGAGTCTCAAGATCATAATTATATAAGGTAGATAACACGTAGTTCAAATCTTATTTAACTATTTAGATAAAATTAATTTTAATTTTTGTACAGATAAAATCTTTTAAAAACTTGAAATTAAAGTGAACTGAAAAGTTTTTTGAAAAAAAAAATAATAATAAGACAAAGTCAAATAAAAAACTTTTTAAAAAAGGAAAAAAAAAAAAAACCCAATAAAGTGCGCTAAGGAAGACGAAAGAGAGGAAGGAAAAATTTAATCACAAGGCATTTTGCCTGAGTCTCAAGCCTATGCAAGCTTTTTATAACACCAATTTATATATATTCCATTATATATAGCAATAATTGAGAGTCAATTGGAAAATGTTTATAAATAATTTTAATTATAGATAGAGAAAAATGAGTGAAAAATAAATGGCTAATACTCATAAATTCTATAGATAAAAAGTGATTTGAGTGTTTGTAAAAAAATTATACACACGAGCCAAGCACGAGCTTCACGTGAATCATGAAGTAAAAAGATGTGGCTTACAAAAGGATAAGACTTCTAACGAGTGAATATAATGCAAGGCTTTGACTTTTGACAACAAAAATCTTTACAAAAACCTCTCTTTCTAAAGCTCTCTCTGTATATCACTTTTACACAAACATTAAAAATGGTCACACTGACAATAGCCATTACAGTGTTCATAATTATCCTTAATTGCGTGGGATGGAAAATTTTGAACTGGTTATGGTTGACTCCCATGAAGAAGGAGATGATTCTGAGGCAACAAGGATTCCAAGGGAATTCATATGATTTCAGAAGGCTTTTGTTTGGAGATGCAGAAGAGAATGCCAAGGTGTATGAAGAAGCACTTTCAAGATCTATAAATGTTCGCGATGAAACTCAAGCTGCCCATCGTATCCTGCCCTTCGTCCATAAAACCATTGAAAAATATGGTAAGTAAATTTCAACAAAATATTTCTCAACTTTTGGTTTTATAAACATGAAGAAACGTATAGGTTTTTAACTCGGCTAACATCTATGAACTAAAATTCTGTAGTTCTAATGCATCAATGGCGTTTTTTTGGTACAATTTATTTGAAAATAATTTTTAGTCACACATTTTTTCAATAAAATAATTTTGCATGTAAATCTATAATTTTTTTCTATTTTTTAATAAAAAAAAATCATTTTAACTTCAAATCATTTTTCTCTAGAATGAAAATTTCTTGTGGCACCCTTTACTCTATACTTTCATTTCAAAGCATTGGAATCAAAGGACAGTACCACAGGTAGGAGAAAGTCGGATTCTTGGAAGAAAGGGGCTGTATATTTTAGTGAAGGAAAACTCTTATCATATATCGCTCGTGTTGGATGGGAATACAAATTTAAGTTTTAATCTAAATTAAAGTTAGTAATTAATTTTTACAATATTTTTAATTATTTATAGGATTTATAACTTTTCAATCACACATTTTATCAACTTTTTTTAAAATCTACTAAAAATATAATTTTAGTTCCTTCTAAACAAGGACATAGTCCAAGTATGTAGCTTGGTTGTTGGAGAAAAGAGATATTTGATGATATTTGAGGGAGAGATATTTGATGATATTTGAACGATTTGCTAATATTGGAGAATATTATGGCGCAATCACGTTTTGGAAGATTTCCATGATTCGTTATCCTCTTTCCTTGATTGCCTCATCCTTAATAAGGCAGTCTTGATCTAATGTGAATATATATGTTTCATTGTAAGCTCCAAACATAGGTGAATAATATACAAGCTCTTTCTTCTCCCGTGGATGTAAGTTGCTATACTAGCGCCGAACCACGTAATTCTTTGTGTTCCTTTTTAGTTTATTGAATTCTTCATGGTATCAGAGCGGATGTATTGTTTCGGTCCATTGCTATTCAAACCAAACCTGTTCTGAAATTCAGAAACGTTTCATAATCTCTACGAAAATAGATTTTTTCAGCTTTGAGTGACCTCCACGGAAATGACTGTATCTTTTAAACCGTAAATCGGAATTACGCAAGGTCATTGCCGTTGGATTCTTATAGCTAATTGTCTTTCGGGCTATTTTCGACAACGTTTGGTGGGTTAAAATCATCTTCAAAGTCAGTTGTTCGCGTTTTTCAGTTTTCTGCTTAGCCTTTTTTGGGTCTGATTATTTGCTTTTCAGTTTACAATGACTGAGAAAGTAATTAATCTATCAGTAACAATGGAGAATGATGTTAATCCTAGATGGAAGTTATCTACTATTCCTTTGAATGGTATAAATTATATATCATGGTCAAGAGCCGTGAAGTTGTCTCTTGGTGGAAAGAAAAAGTTGGGTTTCATCAATGGCACTTGTTCCTGTCCAGATTCTACAGATCCAACTTATGAAGGATAGATATCGAATGATCAACTTGTTCGTTCTTGGCTTCTAAATTCAATGGAAGCGCATATTGCTGAAATCTTCACTTTTTCAAACTCGGCAGAAGAGTTGCGGAAATCTGTTGAGGAACTTTATGGAAACCAAAATAATGCCACTAGAATATTTGAATTGAAACGGGAAATTACTGCTGCTGAGCAAGGAGATAAGCCATTCATTGAACACCTTCGTAATCTTAAGAAGATGTGGGACGAATTGAGTATGTATCGTCCACATACGACCGATGCAAAAATCTTACTAAAAAGGGCTGAGGAAGATAAGATATTTTCTTTGTTGAGTAGTTTGAGACCAAAGTATGAGAATCTTTAGAGTCATATTCTTATGAGTCCTATGCTTCCATCCTTTTCGAGTGTGTGTACAACTGTGTAGCGAGAAGAAACTCGAAAAAAGGCAATGAATTCAGAATTAAAGAATATACCCGAGTCTTCTACTCTTATCATTAAAAGAGATGAAAAACGAAAAAATTTTCAGAACAAGAAAAGACGAGAAGCTCCCAAATGTGACCACTGCCAGAAGCTAGGACACTCTAAGGATCGTTGTTGGGAACTTCATCCTCATCTTAAGCCATCCACTATGAAAAGAGAAAACATGGAAGGTGTTGCTGTTGCTGATACTACCATTTCAATGAATCAATTGGCCCAAATTCCACAACTCCTCGGTCATCCTAGTCCTTCTACTCCAAAATATTCAAATCCTTCTAGCACTCATGTCTCTGGTAACCTTGAAGCTTATTTCTCTTCGTGTACATCTAAACATTTGAATACTCGGATTATTGATTCGGGTGCTACAGATCATATGGCAAATGATGTAGCATCTTTGAGAGATTTCTCAAAAAATTCATTTAAACATACTGTCTCAGTTGCTAATGGTACATCAGTTCCTGTTTATAGATTTGGAAAAATTAATTTTTTTCCTGGTCTTCCTAGTTCGGATGCACTTGTGATTCCTTCATTTCCAACTCAACTTCTTTCCATTGGAAAAATAACTAACTCTTTAAATTGCAATGTTATTTTTTCCGGGGAAGAAGATTGATGAAGATGTGTACTCACATGGACTTTATCCGTTGAAACCATTCGGTGCCACTTCTATTAATAATGCTATGCTAGAAAATCATAGTGTGCATCAAAGATTTGGACATCCTTCTAGTCGTGTTTTATCTTTTTTGTTTTCATCTATGTCTTTTGAAACACATGTTTGTGACATTTGTCAGTTTTCCAAACAAGTTCGTCTACCATTTAATAATTCGTCATCTATGTCTGTTAAACCTTTTGAGTTAATTCATTCTGATTTATGGGACCCATGTCGAATTGATTCATATGATGATTTTAAATATTTTGTACTGATTATTGATGATTATTCTCGTGCTACTTGGATTTATTTATTGAAATCTAAGAATGAAGTCTACCCTATTTTTAAGGATTTTCATAGCATGGTGGCCACTCAATTTGATAGTAAAATCAAAGTTTTTCGTTCGAACAATGAAACTGAATTTGCAAATAGTCCCTTTTTTGCCTTCATTCGCGATAAAGGCATTATTCATCAGACTAGTTGTATTGGTACACCCCCAACAAAATGGAGTAGTTGAAAGAAAAAAATAGACATATTCTGGAGACTACAAGAGCTCTCATGCTTCAAATGAATAATCTGAAGAAATTTTGGTCACACGGAGTTCTAACAGCAGTTTACTTGATAAATAGGCTCCCAAGTTGTGTTATCCATTTTCAGTTACCATTTGAAGTCTTAAAAGGAAGAAAACCTGACGTGTCTCACCTTCAAGTATTTGGTTGTGTTTGTTATGTGCACGACTAGTTTCTGCATCATGATAAACTTAATCCTCGTTCCATTCGATGTGTCTTCTTAGGATATTCTTCGACAAAAAAAGGATATGTATGCTATGATCCTCAATCTCAAAAGCTATTTTTATCACGGGATGTGTGATTTTTTGAGAAATAACCTTATTTTTACAGTGCAAAGTTTGAACAAGAATTTAGCTCAGAGGGAGAGTTTGAACGATCTACTTCCGCTTCCCACAATATGGACATCTTCTTTCGACATTGCAAGCCCTAACCGAAATGAAACTACGGTACGAGCTAAGGGGGCTTCAATCCTGACTCTTTATCCCCCTCTTCGCCCAGGCTAACTGGCCTTACTGATTCAGGGAGGAGATTGGAGCCTCGAAAAGCACTGTTGAGAGGAAGAGCCTTGGCCCCTCTTCATTCTCTACAGGGTTCCAAACCTTTCTTCAACATAGGTGACAACGAGCGAAGCAGAGATGGAAGAGATCTATTTCGATTTATATTATAGAAAATTAGTGTGCTTGGGAGTCCCTGATGATTAAATAAAGGGCGGTCTTGCTTGGCGCGAAGGCTGCTAGTTCGGGGGTAGAGTACAGTACTAAAGGTCCTCGGTAATAGAGATATAGAAAGAACTGAATAAGATGGAAACAGTAGGGACACCGGATGTTCCTTGTCACCAGAACATGTACCAGATGCTCCAAAAGAGGTTTCTAGAAGGTCTAATAGAATATCCAAGGCTCCAAAAAAATTAAAGGACTTTTGTTACTTACGAAGCCGTAAGTCATCCTATACAGGCTCATCTATCATACTCCAATATTTCTACATCTCATTCAGCTTTTCTAACTTCGTTTGCTTCAACTCAAGAGCGAATAACTTTGGACAAGCAAATTCTAGTCCTATTTGGAAACAAGCGATGCAGCAAGAGTTACAAGCCCTTGATGATAACAACACTTGGTCGATTGTGAAACTCCCTCCAGGAAAGAAGGCAGTAGGATGTCGTTGGGTTTATAAAATGAAGTTTTGAAGTGATGGATCTATTGAACGACATAAAGCACGTCTTGTTGCCAAGGGTTTTACTCAAACTTATGGAGTTGACTACAATGAGACATTTGCTCCAGTAGCCAAAATGAACACGTTTCATGTTCTTTTATCTCTAGCCGTCAATCATGATTGGAAATTATTTCAGATGGATGTAAAGAATGCATTTCTACATGGTGATCTTGAAGAAGAAGTTTACATGAATATACCTCCTGGTCATCCATTGGAAGGTCGTAGTGATCTCACATACAGATTAAGAAAATCCATATATGGTCTTAAACAATCACCTCATGCATGGTACGCCAAATTCAGTTACGTTCTTATCAAGAATGATTTAAAGATAAGTAATGCTGATTCTTCCTTGTTCGTGAAAAGAGGTATGAGTGGTACTATTATTATTTTTGATTTATGTTGATGACATAGTTATTACTGGTGATGAGCTTGTTGAGATATCAAAGCTTAAAAATATTCTTCATACTCAATTTTCTATTAAAGATTTGGGAATTTTAAAATACTTTCTCGAACTAGAGATTGCATATTCAAAGTAGGGCATATTTCTCAATCAAAGAAAATATGTGTTAGATTTGTTACAAGATACTGGTAAATTAGGTGTCAAGCCCACTCAAACGCCTATAGCTTGTAATTTAAAATTACCACTTGATAGAGACCCGATATCTAATGTGGGTCAATTTCAAAAATTGGTGGGCAGATTGATTTACCTCACAATTACTTGATCCGATATCTCATATGTTGTTAGCCTGATTAGTCGTTTTATGCACTCTCCACGAGTTGCACATATGGATGCTGTTAATCGAATTTTGCATTATCTTAGGGGTCACCTGGAAGAGGTGTATGGATGCATAAGAATGGTCATTCTCTTATTACTACATACACAAATGCGGATTGGGCTGGTAGTACTATTGACAGACAATCTACAATAGGGTATTGCACGTTTGTTGGAGGAAATTTGGTGACATGGAAGAGTAAAAAGTAGAATGTTGTTGCACGCTCTAGTGCTGAAGCTGAGTATCGGGCAATGACTTCTACTACAAGTGAAATTATTTGGCTTCGATCTTTGCTAAAAGATCTGGGATTTGGCTCGTCACGACCCACACAGATGTATTGCGACAATCAATCTGCTATTCATATTGCTTCAAATCCAGTTTTTCATTAACGAACAAAACACATTGAAGTTGATTGTCATTTTATACGAGAACAAGTCCAAGCCAAGGTTATTTGTACTCCCTTCATTCGTAGTAGTGAACAATTAGTTGACATTTTCACCAAAGGTTTGTCCACTGCTAGATTTCATGAGATATTGTCCAAGTTGGGCTCCATCAATATTTTTCGTACCAACTTGAGGGGGAGTGTTGGAGAAGAGAGATATTTGATGATATTTGAAGGATTTGCTAATATTGGAAAATATTATGGCGAAATCACATTTTGGAAGATTTCCATAATTCGTTATTCTCTTTCCTTGATTGCCTTATCCTTAATAAGGCAATCTTGATGTAATTCGAATATATATGTTTCATTGTAAGCTCTAAACGTATGCGAATAATATACAAGCTCTCTCTTCTCCTGTGGATGTCGGTTGCTACACTGGCATCGAACCAAGCCTAACCAAGCTTGCTCATAAGACTGCTTCCCTGAGTTATTCAGCTTTATAAATGCCTATTCAGGCTACAATTATGTCCTTGTGCACCCCAAAGTTGACGAAAACACTTCTTTTATCACTGATCAAGGCTTATATTGTTATAAAGTGATGCCATTCGGATTGAAAAACGTTGGAGCCACTTATGAGAGACTTGTCAACAAGATGTTTGCTGGTCTCATTGGTGAGACAACGGAGGTCTACGTTAATGATATTTTGGTAAAAAACGTAGAAAATAAAGACCTTGTATCACACTTGAATGAAACTTTCCAAGTTTTAAGAAGATATCGAGTGAGGTTGAGCTCTCTTAAGTATGCATTTAGTGTCGCCTTCGAAATTTTTTTTGGCTACATGGTTAATTAAAGAGAAATAGAAGCTAACCCTAAAAAGAAATCAAGGCTTTGATAAATATGAGATCACCACAAAAACCTAAGGAGGTCCAAAGCATACTAGACGCATAATAGCCCTCAGCCGCTTCGCTTTGAAGGTGAAAAATAGGTGCCTACCATTCTTTAGGGTTCTAAAAGGAGGGAAAAAGTTCCAATGGAATGGAGAGTGTGAAATGGCCTTCCAAGGGCTGAAGAAGCTTTTAGCTAGGCCCCTCTCCCCTTCCAACTGAAGTTCGACGAACATTTTATAATTTACTTAGTCGTATCAGAAGAAGCCATCAGTCCAGTTCTTGTCAAAAAGGAAAGAATACTCCAATTATCTGTCTACTATGTGAGCAAAGCTTTATTGCAAGTGGGGACCCATTACCCAGAAATGGAGAAATTGTGATCACATCAAGAAAATTATGACCGTACTTCAAAGCACATAGATGGGAGCTCTCCTATATGGGAGCTCTTTGTAGATAGATTATCCTGAGAAATCGGTGCTAGGGCTGGAATGGTCTTGTAAGTCCAGAAGGCCACAAACCAAACTGTACAATAAGATTTAGTTTTAAGGCCTCCAACAATGCTGCTAAATATGAGGCCTTCCTAGCAGGACTCAAATTGGCTAAGCAAATATAGATTAAGAGGCTAAGAAATAATAGTGCTTCCAAATTGGTGGTGAGCCAAGTAAATAGTAGCTTCACTATGAGGGACAAAGGCATGGTTTCCTATCTTAAACTTGTGATGGACCTCATCCTATTGTTTGAAAAGTTCGAGCTAATAAAGATTCCAAGGGCTAAAAATGCTAATGTAGATGCCTTATCAAAGTTAGCCAACAACAAGGATTTTGAGCTATTCAAGATGGTGCCTACCCATCATTATCCAGTCCCTCCACCTTAAAGAAAGAGAAGGTAATGTAGATTGAAGGCACTTCTCCATGGATGCAACCTATCATTAACTACTTCAAAACCAAGCTTTGCCAGATAACAGAGGGGAAACTTAGGAACTTAAAAAGAAGAGTTGCCCACTTTGTCTTGTAGGATGACATATTTTACAAAATAGGCTATGTTGGCCATGCCACCCCTACAAAAATCAGGTCAATAGTCCCAAAATCAAACCAATTTAGTAGAAGAACAAATGCCAAACCGACAGCTCTATCACGTTCCAGAAAGAAATACCCATTTACAGCAAACTTCTTATGCAAAAAAGTATGACTATAGGAAATTTAGGAGGGAGTACAATTATCTCTATTTGTACGTAAAAATATTTTGGAGAATTCTTTATATATAGACGTGACGAAAATATGATAACTATCGATTGAAAATATGGAAATTGTTGAGTTAAATGTAGTAACGAGCACAAGAACATTTGTCTATAATTTTTTGCCTTTTATATAGTTTAAGAATGAAGAAACAAATTCTTCAATTACACAACATTTTTCAACAAATTTACTTTAATGCTTAACAAAACCTAGCTAATAATTTACAAAAAAATGATGTAATTAATATATCTCAATGGCTGCTTGTTCCTTTACTTTCTCTGCCCTTTGAAAATAAAGAATTTATTTATTTAATTGTGTTTTAGATGTACATGGTTAAATTTGTATTACATAAATTCTTTTTTGTTCGAATTATCATGTTCAATATTGAAATTGGTTTATTATAAATAAGTATTGTTTACTATTAATTTGGAGGTGACAAATCATTTTTTTGGGCCGGACTAAGACCAAAAGTGCTGATAATGGATCCTGAACTGATGAAAACCGTGTTGGTTAAACACACTAGCTTCATAAGGAATTACAAGGCCACTAATCATATATTGCAAAAACTTATCACTGGACTCCCTCGTACTGAAGGAGAGGAATGGTATAAAAGAAGAGTGATTATGAACCCAGCTTTTCACATGGAAAATTTGAAGGTAATCTCGCTTCTTATTTATCAAATAAGTTTATCCATTTATGTGCCATAATTTGAAATTGTCTTAATATCTTTGGGTTTAAAATGTTAGATTTCAGACTTTATAAATTCTAAATTATGTCTTCTTGTTTAGATGATTTGATATTAATCATTCTATTCGATGCACTTCACTTTCTTATATTTACCTCTAGAATGATCTTGGTATATATGTATTACTAACACAAAAGAGATGTCGCCAAGATCTTAGATTTGAAATTTCTATGATAGAAATATTTTGATTTTGTTCAATAAGCTTATACTATTGTAGGCAACTTGTATATTATCAACATACAATACTAGAAAAATATGCTTATTCATACTGAACCTTTGATATACTCAATCATCAATTGTATTCATCTCAAAATCAAATAAGATAATTATTTAATGAAATTAGTGATTTCATATATGGGAAGCCTGCTAGCCCATAGATGAATTTTTTAATTTACAAACATTTTCTTTGGGTCTTTTGACACAAAGTTTTCGATTGTAACATGTCTCATCCATGTCACCATTGATAAATGCCATCTTTAGATTCATTAGATGTAGCTCAAGATCGAAATATGTCACAAGTGCCATAATAGTCCTGAAAGAGTCTTTCGTTGAACTAGAGAAATGATCTCTTTAAAGCCAATGCATTCCTTTTGAATGATGTCCTTTGCGACAAAATGAGTCTTATATATCTCCACATCACTCTTCGAATCCATGTTGATTCTAAATATCCATTTACAACTAACGGGCTTCGCACCGAAAGGCAATGTGATGAGTTTACAAACAACATTGTCATTCAGGGACTTTATCTTTTCATTCATGATATCAATCCACTTTTGAGAATTATTCCTTTTGATGGCTAAATGAAAGTTGATTGGATTTTTTTTACCAATCCAATGTCATTCTCCTTTTCTAGGAGAAAAATGATAAAGTCATACTGAATTACCTTTTTCCTTTCTTTAGTGGATTTCCTCAATGGCATTTGTTCTTGAGATTGTTGATTTTGTTCTTCTGGAATAGCCTTGTGATTGTGTATAAAGGGTTTTGAAATATTGTCTTGATCCTTAATTGCCTTCCGCACAAGATCTGGAACAAAAATCTGTCCCTAATTTTGATCATTATCAATGACAACTAAAGGAATAGTTATACACTCCTCAAAGATAAAATCCATAACCATATCTCTCCTTGCAAACTCCACATCCTCAAAAAACTAAGCATTTCTCGTTTCAAAAATTAACCTAATCGTTTATGTCATAACGAAGTAAAATTTTCATTAGTTAATTTATGTTTAATACCACATAAATTCACATGCTAGAATTCAATTTATGAGACAATTGAACTGAGCAAGCAAATATAGATTATCATAATCAGAATAAGAATCATACCTATAATAATTGAATTACGTAAAATGACTAAACCGATCGTTACCAAATGAATAAAAGTAATCGAATTTGTTCAATGTAAAAGTAAAAACCAAATTTCGTCTAATACATAGATGTCCCTTTCAAATCAAAATAATTAACAGTCTTTAATAATAACCTGATAATCCCTACAAATTTAACTTTAACTAATTTGCCATCACCTATATGAATAAATTTTTAAATATAAATTGTCTTTTGGTTGTTTAGGCAACCCTACATAGACACGCTTATGAGTAGTGGCATTGAAATTAATCCACTAAGTGTGTCTAGGTGCCGATATTAAATTAATCTCTTAACAAACCAAAGTGAGAAGTTTACTTTACTTTACACGATAAGGGTAGCATTTAATATAGTCCCTAGAGTGTCCAAAACTTTCAAAATGTAACAACCAGATACTTCATCCTTTTCAGGGCTCTGTTTTACTAGACTAGATGTTGCTTCCTTATTATTATTTCTTTTTTTTAACTTGTTTTTAGAGGTACTTGTCAAGTGAGCAGTTTCAGTTCTTTCTTATTTTAACATTTCTTCTTCTTGCGCACAATAAGAAATGGCCTCATTAAGAGACCATTCCCCATTTGATAGATATAACTGACCTTAAATTCGTTGGATTGTGTAGGAAGAGAAATTAAAATTAGATGCTAAAGCAAGTCCTCAGATGGCTTCAATCTTAGTGCCTTCAGTTTTGAAGTAAGATGAGACATCCAAATGATGTACTCCATTATCTTTAACTTTATACTTTAGTGAAACTGAGTTCGCCATAATCGTACTAGTTTTAGTTTGCCATAATCGTACTAGTTTTAGTTTGCCATAATTGTACTAGTTTTGGCCTTATCGATTTTCACAAAACATTTTTCGAATTCTTAAAAAATTCTTAGTTATTTTATCAGACATAGTGTCCTTGAATGTTACTAGCATTCTACCATTCATTACTATAAGATGCATGTGGTTTGAATGATCCCATTTACTCAAGTCCTATTCCTCATTAGTGGAACTCTTATCCGTAAAAGTAGTGGGATTGTTTAGTCCTTAACGCAAGGTTTAAATCCATGCAAAAAAGAATGATATGAGCGTTCTCCTTATAATCCTTAAAGTTGGATCCATCAAGAAGTACATTAATAGAAGGGAAAATCACAACAATGGTCTCAAACCTTTTCAATTTTTGCAGACGTTATCCAGACCTTCATTTTGTGACACCCACAGTTTCAAACCCTTCAAAAATATGCACTTGAGGTCCAAATGGATGGAAATATCCATTTGACCATTAGCTGACCAGATAGTCAAAATTAAATCAATTTTGATCGAACTAAAAAGGGCAAAATGGTATATTTACATTTTCCCAAATTATTAAACAATTACAACAATTAAAAAAAGAAAAAAGAAAAGAAAATTGCCCTATGGTGGATGAGAAGTATTCAATGGTAGAGACCCTTAGGTTCTAAAAATTCGGCCGGCAGTGTTGGTCCACCACCACTCTAAACTGGTCCCTTAGATGTAGCTTCAGCAATCGAGCCCTATCTTCCACATATCTCCTTTGCATTCTATCCACTGTCCACCGCCATATTTAATATTCACAAATACCTATATACACAGTACGATCTATTGAATTAAATCATTCAAATTAACGAAAAATTGATGATAATCCATGGTACCAGTAGATGCGATTTGATGAGGCAAACGTAGTTGCATCATTGACGTTGGAATTGACGTTTGAACTATTTGAGTTCGTTGTTTGAAGAATGGACTGTAGATTTGGATTTCTAGCTTTGTTTGATGTCACATGGGTATCAGTAGGTGCATATTGAGGTGCTTGGTCTACTCGGAGGGTGGGCTTGGCATGGGTGTCACTAGAGGTGAGGATTCTGGCCATTTTTCGGTGCGTGTGCAACTTGTTTTAAGTTGAATTTCCATGTTTATGTATTAAAATAACCTATTCCTTCTCTTTCCAATACCCTTGGCTAGTAATTTTGCCTTAAATGTATGAATAGTATCAACATAATGATACTTTTTTTTTCTAAATACTCATTTACCAAAAACAGGTTCAAACGAATGTGACATGTTTATTTTATTATTTATTGCATCTTTCAGAAAAATGCAATCATTGAAATCATTGTTTCCTTATAGGATCACTTTTAAAAGGAATTGGTAATACAACATTTATCCTATTTCCCTCAATAAAGTAAAGAGAAATCAGTTGGAAATTAATTTGTCTGATCCTAAGCCTTTTATTTTATGGGCTCTTTGCTTCTTCAAGGAAATTGTTCAACATATTTTAGAAGGATTTATTATTATTATTATTATTTTGGGTAATCCCCTAGAAACGGGAATATGTACATGAGTTTGTGTTTGAGAATTATTTCCCGGAGTCAATGAATTCTCTTGGAACTCTACAACCTTGGATTCTATCATTACATTGTATTCTAAATTCAAGTCAAGATGCTTTTCTATTTGAATCATATCCCACAAAAACGCATTTGGTTCATCTAGGACCTAATTTAATTATTTTAGGGTCTGTATTTTTACAGTGAGTAAGATACTGCCCACAGTTTAAAATATTCAATATTGGACGACATTTCTATAATACTTTTTAACCTCGTATTGTTTTGTGTCTCGCTTTCAAGGTTGAGCCCAGCATGCCTGCCCATATAACCGGGTCTATCCATGACCCGGCATAGGCGGTGCCTTTAATTGAGATTGGAGAGTCATGGTAGTCTGGACAACCTATTCATTTTGACGCCAATATAAATGAAAAAATTCCCTTTCGACAAGATAGTACTTGGCCTCTGTTTGGAAAATATATAAATGATTTATAAAGAGGAATAGTAGTAGGCTCCCCGAAATATGTAGAAAATAATGAATATTAATTATGAATATGGGGTTGAAATTAATATTTTACCATGAACTAAATGTTATTAATTTTGTGTATTGCAGGAAATGATACCAGTGTTTCAAAAAGTCAGCGATGATGTTCTGAATCAATGGAAGAAGTTGGTTTCTGAAGATGGCTCCTGTACTGTAGACGTATATCCTTACTTCGAATACGCAACCTCAAAAGTTATTTCTGAAACTTTGTTTGCCAGTGATTATTCTAAAGACAAAAGACTCTATGACCTTATTAAGGAAATGGTCAGCATGGCAAGACTAACCACCCGAATTGCTGATTTACCAGGATCAAAGTAAGTACAACATCTATCGGTTTCCTAAATAAAATCTGTCTTGTAAAGTTCTGTCCAATTAAACATGTAAATGGCAAATTTTTAGCAGTTTGTCCCAATCTTTGGTCTCTTTCAAATGGATTGAGTAGATAAACTAATCATTAAACAAAATGATGGAAAGTGTGGAGATCTAAAGGCTAGAAAAAATGGATTGGAACTCGTGTGCTTTATAATGAAAGGTCGAGGACTGCATTTGCAAATTTTCTATGCATATATATTCAGTTGCAAATGGATTGTTCATTAAACATGTGAATAGGACTTAACTGATTCTTATGAATTTCATATTTACTTCAGAATTTTTCTTGGTATAGGTATTTTCCCACCAAAACAAATCAAAAGTCTAGAAAAATCATGAATGAACAACGGCAGATGCTTGGAACACTCATTTGTGAAAGAGAGAAGGCAATAAGGGAAGGCAAAGTTTTGCAGGACAACTTGTTGGATCTGATATTGAAATCAGAACTCAAACGTGATTATGGTGAAGAGGAAATTCCCGGGCAAGTGAAGTTATTCTTCTTTGCAGGATATGAAACCACAAGAAATCTTCTTGTTTGGACCTTGGTCTTACTCAGCACTTACCAAGATTGGCAAGAGCGTGCTAGACAAGAAGCTTTCCAGGTCTTTGAAAATCGTAAAGCGGATTATCAAGGGTTAAGCCAACTCAAAGTTGTAAGTATATATACTTTACTTTTTATTCCTCAAGACTCAAGGCTTATACTAATAGTTATAATACCAATTATGATAATAATTGTTAGGAAATAGAACGTGATAGCTAAAGTGAGATAGAGGATGTAAATAAATGAATGCAAGGATTTATGTGAAAAAGAACCCCAATTAAATTTAAAATGAAAACCATGGCTAACATGATTCTACCATAATAAGAGAATTACAACAATTTGTTCTAAATATAAGGAGATAACAATAATAAAGCTGCTTTGCATGGCGTGTTGGTCGTTCATTTAATGTTTTTACATGTAATGCATATCTACCTAATTATATTGTTTCACCAATCTCCATGATTTGTGTAATTGTATAACTAGAGCATGATTTGTGTAATTAACATTAATTACTTATCTTATGTGCTTGCCTCATTTACCTATAGAAGGAGGGCTCTTGTACAATTTTATTTATCATAGAATACAGAAGTTATTCACAATTCTGTCTCTATTCTCTTAATTTCAACATGGTATCAGAGCCATCTTTGGTTCTTGGCCTCTAGTTGGTAACCTTTTTTGGTTTTACTCATTCCGTTGCTCTATCATTGCTTCTAGCCTTCGTTCATCGATTCTTTTGGTATTCCAATACCATAAATCGATCATGTTGCTCCAGAGCTTTCGTTTGGTGCAAAAATCATTCCGATCCAATATCGCCATATCTGTCACAACTCGTCGTCATCTCCAGCGACCTTCCAGCCACTTTTTCGGCCAGTTTTTCGTGCTCATTCCATCAGCGCTGTCCTTTTGCTCTAACTCAGTTAGCATTATCATTTTTCTGTTATGGCTTCTTCAAATGATATTGCTCATCCTATAGAGATCATTTTGAATGGCTCTAACTACAATGCTTGGGCCCAACAAATGTCAGTTTTTCTGATTGATCGGAGATTATGGCATTTTGTCACTGGAACAAAACAAACACTCACGAAAATTGACAAGCAATCCATAGAGGAGTTTGATGAGGCCCTTGATGAATGGGAAAGTACTCACTATAAGATCCTTTCCTAGTTTATTAATACATCAACCCCTTCCATTCAGAGTCTACTCCCTAAGTTCCGGAATGCCAAACTTGCTTGGGATTTTTTGGTAAAACACTACAACTGTGGGAGTCTACTCCCTAAGTTCCGGAATGCCAAACTTGCTTGGGATTTTTTGGTAAAACACTACAACTGTGGTAGTGATGCTGCTCTAGAGTTTCAGTTGGAGACTAAGCTTTCCCAAATGCGTCAGGAACCTGGACAGTCTATCGCTGAGTTGCATGCTCAGGTTAGTAGCATTTGGGATCAGCTTTCTCAAGTTGACCCCACTTTTTCTGATGAGAAGTCGATTAAGCTTTTCACTGAATATCGTGATCGTCGTCAGTTAATATATTTTATGATACATATTCGGGATGAATTTGAGAATTCTCGAGCATCTTTGTTCCATCAATCTACTCTTCCTACACTTGAGGTTGCCCTTATAGAGCTAATTGCCGAGGAAACACAATAACAAACTCGTCGGGTTCATTTTATTGATATGGTCTTAGCTACTGCTTCATATAGCTCATCTACTCCTGCCACTCCTGCTGCAGCTGTTGCTTCTTCTAAACCGCGATGTTTCAATGGTCAATGCCACTGTTGTAAGGAAGATGGCCAACGTATTTCTGATTGTCCTAAGGAGAAGGCTAAGGATGCTAGGGATGCTCTTAAGGCTAATGCATCTTACTCTTCCAAACATGTTGCTGCTGTCTCCACTAGCTCCTCGACTTCTGATTCTTCTTCTGCACATTCTTTGTCTTCACTTTCTGCAGTTGACATTGAGGCAATTGTCACCCAGGTCCTATCCCATACTTTTACTGCTTTATCAGTCTCCACAGGTAACTCTACATCTTGGTTTCTTGATTCTACCCATTGCAATCAAATGACCTCGATTCCTCTTTAGTTACCATATGAAGTCTTTAAATCTCGTTTCTTTAATTTATACTGCTGATGGTTCACATATGTCTATTAGTCATTTTGGTCACGTTTCTACTCCTACCCTTTTTGTACCTAACACATATGTTGCGCCTAACTTGTCTCTAAATCTCCTTTTTATAGGTCAACTTGTTGAAAGTGGTTTTATCTTAACCTTTTCTCACAAAGGGTGTGATGTACAGGATCCAAAGACGGGCCAGCTAGTTGGGACAGGGCATAAAGTTGGTTGCTTTTTTTAGCTTACATCTCTACATTTGCCTAGTTCTTGTTCTCCTCAGTCCCTTAGTACTGCTTTGCCTTTTAGCGTTTGGCATTCTCGTCTCGATCATACATCTTTATCTTGTGTTCAGTCGTTAGCTTCTAGTGGTTACTTAGGTAATGTTAAATTTGAACATTTTGATTGTGTGTCTTGTCAACTTAGGAAACAGAAAGTTTTACCTTTTAATGAAAGTAATTCTTTGTCTTCTGCACCTTTTGATTTGGTTTATTCTGATATTTGGGAACCTGCTTTTATCTTTACTAAGGGCAGGTCTCGTTATTTTGTCGATGATTATTCTCGGTATACATGGATTTATCTTTTGCATGATCGCACTGGGTTATTAATTGCTTTTCACAATTTTAAACAGAGGATACAAACTTAATTTGATCGCACCATTAAAGTCTTTCAGTCTAATAATGCCATGGAGTGTACTTCTACCTCTTTCCTTGAAGAACTTCAAGAGGCAGGCACTTTGTCCCATTCTTGACATCGATCCTATCCATACACCTCCTAACATAATGGCTGTGTAGAACGTAAGCATCGTCACATTCTTGACATTGTTCACTCTCAACTTTTTTCTGCATCTCTTCCAGAATTCTTTTAGGGAGAAGTTGCCCTTATCGTTGTTTACAATATTAATCGAGTTCCAACCTCGACTCTCTTCAATAAGTCTTTATATGAGGTTCTCTACAAAAAGGTACCCGATTATTCTATTCTCAAAGTGTTTGGTTGTGCTTGCTTTGTCTTACTTCCACCTCATGAACATACAAAACTTGAACTTCGTTTTTGTCTTTGTTACTTTCTTGGTTATGGGATAGAACACAAGGGTTATCGGTGCAATGACCCCATAGCCAAGTGTCTTCGAGTCTCTCGACATGTTCAATTTTGGGAACACAAAGTATTCATTAGTATCTTTCCACTTTCATCCGATTGTCTCTCACACTCTCCCATTTTCACTAACCCAGCCATAGACCTCTCTCCAGATTTTTCCTCTAATGCAAGTCATGTCAGCTCATCTAGTGATCACTCCACGCCTACCTCTCACGAAACTGGATTGTCTGATGATCATGCCATCGCATCCACCCCTCCTGAGTCCTCTGATTTGGATGTTCGTCGTCCTAGTAGGGTAAGAGCACCTCCTACCCATCTTAGTGATTACCATTATTTTTCTACTCTTGACTCTCTTCACGAGCCTCGCAATTATCGCGAAGCTTGTTCTTACCCTGCTTGGTAGCAAGCTATGTCTGAAGAACTTGACGCTCTTCATAAAACTCATACTTGGGATCTGGTTGACCCGTCTCCTGAAAAGACTATAGTTGGGAACAAATTTGTGTATAAGAGGAAAACGAACTCCGATGGTTCTGAAGTAAGACATAAAGCTCGTTTAGTGGCAAAGGGCTTTACTTAAGAGGTCTATATGCAGCCTCCTCTAGGGTATCCTCATCCTCCTGGTAAGGTCTGTCATCTCCGACGTGCATTGTATGGGCTTAAGCAAGCTCTCCGTGCTTGGTTTGCCAAGTTCAGCTCCACCGTTACATAGCTTGGGTTTGCTTCTAGCCCCTATGTTTCTGCTCTTTTTACTCGTCACACTGACACTGGCATTACTATTCTACTACTTTATGTTGATGATATGATCATTACTGATGATGATAATTCTAGTATTCATGAGCTTAAGCAGTTTCCGTGTTAGCATTTTGAGATGAAAGACCTTGGTTCTCTTAGCTACTTCCTCGATTTAGAGGTGTCCCCTAACTCTGATGGCTACTCTTTGACCCAAGCCAAGTATGCTTCTGATCTTCTCAGCCATGCTGATCTCGCAGATTGTAAGATAGCTGATAGTTCGCTAGAGCCCAACATCAAACTTCATCCTACTGATGGGGAGCTCCTTACTGATGCCACTCGTTACTGACAGCTTGTTGGGAGCTTGATTTATTTCACTGTCACTAAACCAGGCATTGATTATACAGTGCATCTTGTTAGCCAATTTATGTCAGGTCCTCTTTCAATTCACCATACAGCTGTTCTTCGCATCTTACGCTATGTGAAGGGAACATTATTTCATGGGCTTCACTTTTCCTCTCACTCATCCTTGATGTTGAAGGTTTACTTTGATGTTGATTGGGCAGGAGACCCTATTGATCGTCGATCTCCCACTGGTTTTCTTTTTCTACTTGGTGACTCCATTATCTCTTGAAGGAGCAAAAAGCAGACCGTTGTTGCTCGCTCTAGCACTGGGGCTGAGTATCGAGCCCTTGCCGATACTACTTTGGAACTTCTTTGGCTCTGTTCGCTTCTCCAAGATATGGGTGTTCCTCAGCCCTCTATCACTCCGCTTTATTGTGACAATCATAGTGCTATCCAGATTGCTTATAAAGATGTCTTCCATGAACGTACAAAACACATTGAGATCGACTGTCATTTTGTGTGTCATCATCTTCAGGAAGGGACACTTCGCCTCTTGTCAGTTCCTTCAACTGATCAGCTGGCTGATATCTTCACAAAGGTTCATCCACCTAGTCGTCATCGTTTTTTGGTTTGCAAACTCCAGTTGGCATCTTCAATACCACCTTGAATTTGAGGGGGAATGTTGGCATATCTCCTTAATTATATTGATTAACCAATCTCCATGATTTGTGTAATTGTATAATTAGAGTATGATTTGTGTAATTAGCTTTAATGACTTACCTTATGTGCTTGCCTCCTTCACCTATAAAAGGAGGGCTCTTGTACAGTTTTATTTATCATAGAATACAGAAGTTATTCATAATTCTTCCTCTATTCTCTTAGTTTCAACAACATGAATTGCAAAATGAATTCTCTACAAGTCATTTTCCCATACAATATTACTTTACTCCTTCACAATGTGAATAATGCCCTATGAGAAGACTTTTCACTCATGGTAGTAAAACATTTGACCCCCAATAACAAGGCCAACCACAACCTATGAGAATTGGTATGCAAAAGTGACTTTCGAACCACTTTGGCAATCTCTGTATCCTTCTATACATAACATTTTCATGCTGTATGCATATTTGCTAAGCTATAACATGATCTATAACATTATATGAACTTGTCAATGTTGATTGGTCTAGTCATTGCATCAACTAAGTTTTCCTTGGTGTATATTATTGACATGTTTACACTCCCATCTTCCACTACTTCCTGTACAAAATGATATTTTACACCTACATGCTTTGTCCTCGAATGAAATGCTGGATTCTTTGGGATGTGCATGACACTTTGATTGTTAGAAGACAAAATAATTTTCTATTTTTTGTGTCCAAGTTCCTCCATAAGCCTCTTTTATCCAAACATTTGCAATGATCTTTTATACTTTGATAACAAGTGCCCCTTTGAAAATCTTCATGACCTTATCTTTAATATGGGTCTTGCATTCAAGATAACCAAATTGTCCCAAAGACAATAGATTTTTCTTCGGGCCCTTTAGATGTTGTACCATTGGATACTGGGACTTGTACCTCATGTATCTTTAATAATCATTCATAAATATAACCCTCCAAAGATAGGTTCATATTTGTAGAATCATTCTCATTGAGATGTCATGTACTGTTGAATCTAAAAGTTAGAAGTCAGCAAACCGCTTTCTAGCTTCAGCGGCAGTTGTTGCCTCACTAAAAAGAACTTCACTATCTTCAACGATACTTGCAATCAACCATCTAGAATGTCTCAAGAGCTTTGTTATCTAATTTCTTCTTGCTAAGCCAACAACCCCTTTTGAAATGCCATTTTTTACCACACAATAGCATTTTACATTTTTCTTACTTCATAAGTTTGACCTATTATGGTTGCGACTCCCACTAGGGCCACGTTTTATTGATCTGCCATTTGTTATAGATTAGGCCTTAGCTCGTTGTGAACTGTCTTGTATGTCCTCTTTGTTTTTGCATCTTTGTTTGTCTACAATGTAGATGTTAGGTTTGGTGACTCAAATGTGTTAGGATTATTGTTAATTTAAAATTTGATCGCATGGAATCCTAGAAATTGGTTAGAAGTCTTTTGAAGATGCATGTTAAACTTTTACTTAGAAAGGAAATCTAATTACATCTAACAAAAGGAAACAAAATCCTATTGAAATTAGGTCTCCTAATTGTAATATATTTTCTTACCTTTTAGGACTCTTCTAGGGTTGGTCTATAAATACAAGGCTCCTCTGGTCAGTTTATAGATAGTAACAGATAGAAGCCAATTGCTAGATTGCTTTGTACTCTCCATATTGTTGATTCAATAAAGATCATTCCTCTGCATTAATCATTTTGTTCCTCTTTACAAATTTAAACCTTGTTTCGTGATATGATTTTGTTTACTTCAACATTGTCATTAAATCTTGTTATTTAAAATCTAGTTTGGAATTAATGTGTGTTATTGGAGCTTCGATTGGTTGAGATATTTTTTCGAGATGTCTGGGTTGAAGTGCAATATTCCGCAATTAGATCGTAATATAAGGTTCTCGTTCTGGCAAGTAAAGATGAGGGCTGTTCTGGAGAGGTTGGATTTGGAAGATGTGTTGCTGGGTTTTGACAGGATGCCAGCTGGATGGACAAGAGAGGAGAAACAATGGAAGGATCGAAAGGCTACATCATTGATTCATCTTTATCTATCCAACAACATTCTACAAGACGTCTTGAAGGAGAAAATGACGACTGATTTGTGGTTGAGGTTGGAACAGTTGCGTATAACTAAGAGTCTTACAAATAAACTGGCTCTTAACAGAAGCTGTATTCCCATCACATGGCGGAAGGAGAGTCATTGGAAGACCATATTGCCCTGTTCAAGTAAATAGTTACAGATCTGGAGATGTTGGAGGTTAAGTACGATGAACAGGATCTTGCATTGATTCTGTTGTGTTCTTGGATCTTATACGTCGTTTTGGGATACTATCTTGTATAGTCAAGATATTTTGACTATAAAAGATGTCTATGATGCGTTGCACTCAAATGAGAAGATGAAGCATTTGATTGGAGCTACATCAAAGGGTGGAGAAACTCTTATATCTCAAGGTGGTCGACGAAGAGGCAGATGAGAGTTAGATTTAGCAATATGACTGATTACTACTATAAAAGGAATTGAATATTCGAAAAGATTGTGATATATTGTAGGCTAAAGGTGATTTAGCTACAAATCTTGGGGTGCCACCTTTGAATTCAGACGAAACCAATGTAGTTAAGAATTGTTCAGATGGCGAAGAGGTAATGTTGACTGTGGTATCTGATGTGGAATCTAGACCTGACGAGAAGTGGAGTCTTGATTCGGCATGTTCGCACCATATGTGTTCCGATAGAAATTTATTTAAGACATATGAGGCTGTTCAGTAAGGTAGAATTGTAATGGAAAACAACCAATCTTGCCTATTGCTGGATCGGTCGAGTCAGATTCAGGCTACGGGATTGAACATTTAGAACAATTGATCTAGTTCGACATGTTCTTGACTTGAAAAGGAATCTCATTTCGCTAAGTAGCTTGGATGCAAAAGGGTATAAATTCTTTGGAGGAGGTAGAGTCTTGAAGGTCCGAAAGGGAGTCCGGGTTGTACTGGAGGGACAAAAAGATCCTAGTTGTACATTTTACAGGGGTGTAGAACTTGTTAGGAGACATTTGGACAAGTTTAGTACCATGGTGGAAGTTCGATTTGCTACAGTACCTTTTGGGTTGGGCTTCGATTCAGTTCAGAACACTGGTAGGGAGAGTGTTGGTGATCCCACTTTGCCACCAATTTCAGCGAGTACACTGTGTTCAGTTGCTGGGGTAGGACTCATCGAATGTATGTACCGTGGTGTCAGCAATGTCTGGGATGCTTCTGGGGATGTTGAAGGCAATAGTTCTAGCAACAGGCCTTCTGATTAAGCATCTGGTTTGGTTCTTGCTACAGGGTGTGTTTTGGCTCTGTGTGATTTACATTAATTCCTTGGTGGATTTGGAAACCTTGGGTTTAGGTTCGAATGTTGATTGTGGACGCCGGGCAGAGGACGAGTGTTTGGTTTATATGGAGTGGCCACTGTTGAGGAGATTCGACCAGTTAATTTCAATGCAGATGGATTTGAAATCTAGAATTTTTGTTCGCAGCACTGCAATTTGAGTCAAGGTGGAGATTGTTAGGTTTGGTGACTCAAATGTATTAGGATTATTGTTGATTTAAAGTTTGATCTGGAATCCTAGAAATTGGTTAGGAGTCTTTTGAATATGCGCATTAAACTTTTACTTGGAAAGGGAATCTAATTGTATCCAACAAATGGAAACAAAATCCTTTTGAAATTGCATCTTCTATTTATAATATATTTTCTTGCCTCTTAAGATTCTTCTAAGATTGGCCTATAAATACAAGGCTCCTCTGGTCAGTTTGTAGAAAGTAACAGATAGAAGCCAATTGCTAGATTGCTTTGTACTCTCCATATTGTTGATTTAATAAATATCGTTCCTCTGCATTAATCCTTTTGTTCCTCTTTACAAATTTAAATCTTGTTTCGTGGTGTGATCTTGTTTACTTAAATATTGTCATTAAATCTCATTTTTTAAAATTTGATTTGGAATCAATGTGTGTTATTGGAGCTTCCGCGCCCGACAGTAGAAGCAATGTTGTCAAAGGCAAGACTAGTGAAATTGTTGGTCAAATTTATAACTAGCTGATCATACGAATCAAGCAGAATTTGAAATAGGATCTCAGCACCTTTAGCATCTTCAATCATGAAACTGAAGATTATGAAACTTAATGCTTAAAGTTGAGAAAATAAGGTATTAAGATTATTGATGTGATTCATTTCATATGCATATTCCTCCATTCAATGAGTGTAGAACCTCTTATTTAATTATGTTACTTGAACCTCATATAATTTTGTTAGAGTATCTCATATCTCCTTTGCCGTCTTTTTCTTCAACACTTGACCAATGCTAAATGAAAATTGCTGATAATACTGTTATCCATCTCCTTCCACTTGTTGTCGTTGATGTCAATTGATTTTTGTAAATTTCCACTAATGAATCGCCCTTTGGTAAAATTTCTTTATGATCTGTCATTCGCTTGGATCGATCCCCTTCATTTCACGTGAATAGTACATGTACAATTGAACGGTACTCCGTATATCTATGGCTCTAGTACAACTTTGGAAAATAGAACGTGACAGATAGAGTGCAGCTAAACTACCACGGGCAAATATAAATTTATACTATCGTATAAGAATTACAGCATCCCTTTAAATACAAGGTTTATCTCTCTTAATAAGAGAAACTTAAGTAGGAAATACTCGGGAGAAACTAATTTTTTCTCTCAATATTTAAGTGTTTCTCTACTCTCTAACTTTTTTTTTTCTCTATTTTTTTTATCACTCAAAGAATGAACTCTCTGTAATTGAGATACATTCTGGCTGCAGAAATTATCCTCTATTTATAGCCCAATCATTCCACGTAGCATTTAATGTTTAGCAACATCATTTCAACTGCTAGAGAAAATAATGCTAGCAATTACTGCTTCGTATGGCGTGCATTCTTTCATTTAATGGTCTTACATAAATCGCAACTTGAATTTCTAAAACTCATTTTCCCTTGCAAAATTACTTCGCGAGTAACGTTATTTAACTCCACTAGAATTGCAACCCTAGTCTAAGGTAGTTATTCTTTAGAGATTTCCTCATTTGGTTTTGTTACATAAACAATGTAACCCTGAAAAACTCATTATTTACTCATACAAGAGCTTTCCTTTTCCTATATTGTAGTTATCGATGATCGTAAATGAGGTATTGAGGTTGTACCCTCCAGTGGTCGAGCTTTCAAGACTTGTAGAAGAAGAGACACAGTTAGGTGAATACACCATACCAGCTGATACACAAGTCATGCTACCAGTAGTTATGATTCATCGCGATCCCAAATACTGGGGTGAAGATGCAAACGAGTTTAATCCCAACAGATTTGCAGAAGGAGTGTCGAAAGCAACCAAAGGACATCTTATATATTACCCCTTTGGATGGGGACCCCGTAATTGCATTGGCCAGAACTATGCACTCTTGGAGGCTAAATTGGCATTGGTAGACATTTTGCGCAACTTCTCGTTTGATATTTCGCCTACTTATAGACATGCTCCAGTTGTGATTTTCACTCTTGAGCCTCAGTATGGAGCCCCCCTCATACTACGCAACCTCAAGTGAGGTTTAGTAAAAGTTTGTTTGTGTGGGTAATTATAGCCAATGTTTTAGTTATCTTTCTGGCTATGTATTATGTATCCGTTGATTAGTTTTTGTCTTTTCACTTGCCATTTCTAGATAATTTCAATAAATTTTAAGCTACTATATTAGTTCCTTATGTAATGTTGACACTCCTCACCACCCGCTTCTGTTACTCTTTATAATAGCAGTGTTTCAAATATTTCAGTATAATCAATGCCTATTGGTAAGAGGGCTCTATCCCTTTCAGCAGCAAAAAGATTCAGCAAAAGGTGGTTTCATAGCTTCAATAAACCCCATCTCTTTTCCAACTAAGTTTGTTGTTAAATATGAAGTTTGCACGTGTTGCTCTATTGAGCTAGTTCTGATGGAAAACGTGAAAATAGAATCAAACATTGATAAGTTGTACCTTATTGAAAACAATTGAAAATCAAAATTTCAAAACAAATAATGAAATATAGTGAACTTGAAAAATTTGTAAACGCAAAAGAACTTTAGCTTACATGATCTTTGTATGTTATTCGCGTATCCTAATTCCTAACCAGTGAAGTAATCAAAGAAGTTCGAATATGCACGATCAAAACAGTGTTGTGAAAATTTAATTTAATTTTACACTTTTTCAAAATTTAGAGTTATACTATTAAATTCTAAAATACAAATTCAAAATTTAAAAATTCAAAACAAATAATGCTAAAATTAACATCAATATTCAAAGAAACACTCGAAAAAACAATAGAAAAAAATACTATTTTTTTAAAAAATTCACGGGGCGGGCTGGACAGAGCGGGAAATTATGCCTCGGCCCGTCCCATCAGCCCGTTGGGGTGGGATTTTTTGCCCCATTCGAGGTAGGGCGAGGAGGGGTGTGTGTGTTTGTTTTTATAATAGCAGGATCCACACATCAATAACTTTAAGAGACAATGCAGTTCAATTATTCCCAATAAAAATGTCAACAAGTCTAGTCGAAACCCAAAATTCAGGCTGGACTCGAGTAAAAATGGGTTGGACCTTTTTTATTGCTCGATCCGACTCGAGTTTTTGTTTGACCAAAAAATCTAGACTTGACCCGAACTTTTCGGCTCGGCTAACTTTTTTCCCCCTAATAAGCTTCCTGGCTGCGTATAAGGGCAGCTACTTCCTTAATAGGCAATTTTTTAAATATATATTTTTTTAAAGTTTTGCAAGCAACTAATTTTATTTTAATTTATTTTTTTAGGCTTGGCTCGTTACGGGCTGAAAATGACCCATGTTGCTCGACTGGCTCAGGCTCAAGCTGACGCCCCAAAATGGGACTCGAGCTGACGCCACAAAAAATTGAGCTCTGCTCAATTCTATCGAGCCTCTAGCCGAATCAGCTTAGGCTTTTCTCGAGCTAATTCACTGTCCAGCCGAGCCGACTAGCCAAATTGACCCCTCTACTTCCCAACAATCTTGACATGTCGGCTTCTAATTTGTCAACAATATCTATATTTATTTGTTAAGTGCTATCTTTTCCTCTTTCCTAACCTTGCTATATGTATACTATGGTGTACACTTTAGTTTATACTTTGTCATATGTCATTATCCTATTAGATAGTTTAAATTTCAAACAATTTTTTTTCATCCAATTGACATTTGACAACCATGCAAGTGTCAACCAAAGTGTTAGAAATCAGTGTACAAATAGCAATTTTCTTCTTTTAAACCATTGCATATATATGTAAAGCTATTTATCCTTTGTTTGGCAAGAATTTATAATTGAAATTGAAGTTTAGATATTGCTACTACATGCTTCTTTTGAATTATTGCTTATCCTTGTAAGACCCTATCTCGAGCACATAGCTAGATCTTGTTGTTGCTTTGGTTTAAAGAAGTATAAAGTGATATGGATAATGAATTTAGCTTATATAATGTGTTGGATTGTAATAACCTAAAATTTCATAAATCCTGAAGTGTTATAAAAAGAACTCAATTTTCTTTGCACTAATTGCAGAATGATTAAAATAATTTTATTTAAAAAAATAAAAATAATTGAAACATTCACAAATTTAATTTAAAAATCATGGAAATCGTATGTAAAATAATAATAATAAAAAAGGAACACAAACATTTAACTAATTAAATCTCATGTCTTTGAACAAATTTAACTAGCTAAAAAATTTAAAGACAGAAAAACTTAATATATATTTTTTCTTTTTCTTCGATCCACTTGGTAGCCCGCATTACCATTCTACCACAGATCCAATCAAGCCGCACTAACCTGTAAAATTATTGTAAAAGTAAGTTTAAAATACGCAATAAGATATGTGCAATTTTCAAACACAATTTATATAACAAATAAATAAACACTCATAACACTCTTCTCTTATAGAGTATGTCAGTAACCAAGCGACACACCTATCTTAGATCATCTTAAATTCTCGAAGGATTTCATATATCTTTCTAAAAATTCCGAAAATCCATTAACAATTCATGCAAATTTAGTTGAATACATAAAAGTGGAAGGAAACAAACCACTTACATATAAGTATCTTATCTTGATAGATTTGAAAGTAAATAAATTTCTTGCACGTGGAAACTCTCTCTTCTTCCCTCTGTACCTTTTCTCTCTGTCTCTTTGCCGTGAGTATATAATTTTTCTATATGTTTATTAATTAGACATTCTTACAGTATTTAAAGCCACCCACAGGGTGTTTACAATTTTAATTTTGGTGCAACTAGAGTTGGAGATGCGTATCACAAATAGAATTGGATAGGGAATATGTTTCACTTTGTAGGTTATGCTATTATCATGATTATGCTTACTAATTAATTCTACTATGACACTTGGAAACATGAAATTTGTTTTCACATTAATAGAATTTGCATTGTAATAAATAAAGGATTATTTTGGTCAACTTGTAAGGCCATCACGTGTAACTAGGGATAAGAATAACTACACATATCAATCCTACTCCAACGGTAATTAACTCCATAGTACTTGAAAATGTTGGAACTTTATCGATTTACCAATTAAGTAAAAAGAAATGATTGATTGTATCTATCAAAGAAAACACGTGGCTAACTCTCATGCAAAATCCAATTTAAATAAAATACTAATAAATGACAAATTCTTTAAACACCAATATCTTAGGCTTAACTTATTTGAATTAACTTTTTCTCGAGTCAAAGACTTATAATTAATTACTAATTGCAAAAAGAGTCCAATATCGATACATTTATTTTTCCTCTACCAGAATCTAATTATTGGCCAAAATAATATTAAATTTAACTATTTCACTTTTGTCTCTTAACTTTCAAAATTATTGAAAGGCATCTAGATCAAAATCTCTATCCCCAAATAATTAAGTTTTATAAACATTTGGGGCATTACATGGATTGTTGGCAAAATGTATAGGGGAAATGGTTGATTGTTAATTGACAATATAATGGTTAAGTTCAATTTGCAGTATAATTAAATTTTATGTAATATAGAAACGAAAAGAAAGAAGGAGAATAAAAAGAAAGTAAGGAAAAGAAATCGGAGGCAAGTGATTAATACGTTTTTCTTAAGACAAAATTGCTCTTTAACGATGCTAACGGATTATGGTACTTGTCACCCAAAATACAACAGAAGCAATTTGTGATAGAAGCACTTCAAACCACAAACAATAGTGAACTTAAACAAAAATTTTCCTCTCAAGAAAATAATAATTGAATGATTTTTGGAGAGTTTTTTGCAAGAGATTTTGATGTAATACTCAATGCAAATGATATGAATGTATAGTGGACGTTCAAAATGTCATATTCATAGAAGATGAGAGATTGTGAGTAAGAAACATGCCCCAAAACTCAACAACATTCAAGAAAGGACGCATTCCTTACTAGCCTCTCGCTTGAGCACCAGTAGCATATTTTTAACAGAACTTTTCGCTAGCCTATCGCTCAAGCGAGTGACAACTTTGCCACTCATTTAGCTCTAGCCTGCCACTCTAGTGGCAATACTATATGATTTTCCCTCTTTTTTTCCTCTTTTTCCTTCCAAATTTGGACTACAATTTCTCATTCATCAGAAATTGGTTTTAAGATTTCAAATATACTATGACGATCTACTCGATGAGAAAAACAAGATAGTCTATTTATTATTATAATTTGAATGTCGGATCAAGTTTGAATATTTAGTCAAAATTGACACAAAGTCACTTTTCAATGTTATATTTTTCTAATCTTTAAACCCAATTCAATAATCCCTTATATAAATGGGAATTCAAATGTGTTCATGATATGAAGGTAGGATGCATTGTAGAGAGAGCAGAAAAACACTGCATCAGATAAGGTGACTTCCAGCTTTGAACCTTCCTTAAGTGAAATACTATCAAATTTATTAGGCTAATTGTTGAGTGTGATGTCTTGAACCATTCTGACATTGGTGTATACCAAGATAATAGTATTCACACAAATATCTTTTCTAAATTGTTCATGATTCTAATGACTTGATTCATTTTGACCTTAAACCACTCTTGGATTTCATAATTGTTAAGAAAATTTTAGCCTTGTACAATTTTCGTTGAAACTACCTCACTTCCCACTTATATAGGTTACCTCCTATTAAGAATATTCTCCCTTACTCCACTTAACTTAGTCAAGATAAGAATCATTAAAAGCGTATCTTAACATTTAACATTTTGCAGAAAGCACTATAATTATTTTAGGAATCCGTTGGGAAGTACTTCCCTAAGTGTTTTTATTGAATCTTCAAAACATAGTTGTTTCTTTGAACCAAGATATTGAGATCTCCAATCAATAAGGCTAGTTACCATTATAAAGACTCTTACGTAGTAGGCTTTAATCCTATTTCTTTTAATCTTATTTCTTTCGATAGAGAACGTATTTGATCTCTTGATAGATCTTTCGTAAGTGGCTCCATGATATTCTCCTTTGATTTCATATAATCTATGAAGGTAATACCATTTGAGATCGGTTGCCTAATGGTTGTGTCTACGATGTATATGTTTAGACTTACCATTATACATACTATTTTATGCCCTTTTAATAACCGATTGACTTTCAAAATGTATACCTATTATAGGTACCGGCATAAGCCAACATGGAATATCTTCAAAGAAGTTACAAAATCATTTTATTTCTACTTCAGCTTTGTCCAAAGTAATAAACTACGATTTCATCGTTAATCGAGCTATACGTGTTTGTTTTTGTTGACTTCCATGACACAGCAACTCCACCAATGGTAAATA